TTTGTAGAGTTCCAGTTCATTCATATGTACCTGATCTGCGAATCTTATATCCATTGTCCTTAACACCAACTATGATTCCTCTATTTAATAACACCTTTATGTATCCATTCTGTTCTGTGAAGTTCACTCATCTCAACTTTCTATTGCCAGACATTCTATTTCTGATTGACATTACATACTACTTATATTAACAGACAATGCTAGTATGAACCATAAACTTAGCAATAACACGTGCAACATTGAAGAGCGACTTTTAAATTATCAGTCCGACTATTCACAATGTAGGAATTTGTCTCAAGCAATGTTTTATCCAGACAGACATCTAGAATGAAGAGCGGGTAAGCGTTATGGAGAGGAGTGGAGAGAGAGAAGGCACTTGATCGAACTCAAATATTATCACATATTTTGTCACAACGATGAGTATTTCCAATGGTGGAAGGATATTTCAATGAACAATCAAACATTGCACATTGAGGATAAGGTTTATACATTTATAACCTCTCATCGATTGAATTTTAAGTAAATTTTTCATTTTAAAGTCTTCCACTAACTCGACTCCCCAAAACTGTGAAACTATTCGATGAAATATCAACCATATAATCTTGAAGGTCGATGTGATGTACAGCTGAATGGATCATGATGGATATGTTTATGTGGCATGAAATTCATGCATACATTTGTCTGAATAGCGTTTTCACATTTGAATGGATGTTAGGTCTTGATAGAAAATCCTAAATCTACACCTTAATACTAATTTAAATTCAAATGTAAATCATCAGTTTGATTCTTCATATTGATTTGATAATCCTCATTCAGAATTAGATTAACACATTGACACACTGAAAGTGACCTCTCATGCAGGAACTTTGACAAGAGCATGTGAAAATGTTATACGTACATAAATATGACAATCTGGAACTCCATCTATTGCACATTTAAATAACAAGGCAAAGACACAAATAAAATAACAGGAAGTGAATTTAAGTGATAAGTAACTTGTTGAGACATCTTGTTGGCTAAAAATTGGTAACTTCGATATTCTTGTAGACCGCTTCTATTGACCTATCCATTGGATAGTGTGATAGAACAATGGTCGAAATTCTGTAGGTAACAGAACATCAGTAATTACAACTTAATTACCTAGCATAGATTGTGTAGGATTTAAGTGACGGTTGAATGATGACACTAATATATTTCAAAGAAGAATACCAATAACGGAATAATTCAAACAATTGAAGTGTGAATTCTCATGGTTATTCTTAGTTGATTGAGGGAATGACTACATAATGTTCGCAGATAACAATAAATCAGTTGAACATTATACTGAGTACAATATCATCAAGTATACTTGCGGACTTGAACACATATTAAGATGAGAATGAAAAATGCAGTAATTGGACAGTCTTGAGTGTTACTAGTTAGTGAATCATTGCGATTACTAGTAATCTTCAGATACTTCTGTCATTTCATATAAGAATACGCTAATAAGAACGAACAAAAGACTTCTGTGAATCAGATGTTGAGAAAGGTTGAGTTAAAAGTTATTGAAATACTATGTAACAACCATTCCTTCAGTTATATCAATCTGAGTGTAACACCATCATCAGATTACTAGGGAATCATCTCATATTTAACAACTATTCTAATGACAAGGATTCTTTTCCTCTAATCATCATCTATGCAAAATAATCAACACTGAAGATGGATAACAATCATTGAATTCACTTTATATACGTTACATTGTAATCCATTTGAACAGAGGTCAACACATGTAATCAGTTTGCACACACACACACATACGTATTTAATTGATTCCATATTAAATCAACAACAAAACCAAGAATGTGCTCATCGGTCCAAAGTTCAACTTTGATGTAGCAGAGAAAGTACAAAATAAAACAGATTTTGTGATTTCAATCTGTTAAATTCTCTACTTGAATACGCACGAAACACTATATAACGGATGACACTCGAACGTTATAACCTCCAACCCCTCGCAAGTAAGAAGACGAAAGACGTTTGTTAGCACTTATTGACAAGAATCGAAATATACAATAAAACATGCGTATTTATACAAAAGTATATATAATCAATATTGTCATTTAAACTTTTAAACATTCATCAGTAAATTCGTCAATTGACTGCTATTCAAATATTTAACATCTGATCGATAAGTTAATCGATAACGTAGTCAATCGACTATGTACGTGAGTGGCTTCTCGCTGGCCATCACAACACCTCCCCTGAATAAAACTTTTTCCTTTGGTCCACTTGTAGTCTTACGACAGGGTTGCGACGGCGTTCAATTCTGGTTGTAATTTTTCTAGGTAATGTCTCTAACCTTTTTTCTTCGGTATTCCGGGACGAACATTTAGTTGTCGATTCAGTGACCAACTCCAGCAGTAGGTTTACATGATTATATCCGAAACTTATCATTCTTTTGTCCCATCTCATTTGGTTCGTGTCTGTCACAGCTCCCGAAAGCTACTATTATCCAATGCAAAACTCTTCCTAATACCTGTACAACGGTCCCTGGTTCCCATCGATTTTTCCGCAGATATGATTTTAGAAACACTTTATCACCAACGTTAAAACTGCGCATTTTTTGATTTGGCCTGTACCTATCCACTCTATCAAGAGGTAACATCGCTTTGAAAATAGTTCGAATACACCTTCCGAACATTGCTCCGGCTGGGGGCTTTCCATCTGGGACCGTATGTTTCGGAGTGCTTCTGTTAGTCGTTAAAAATCTAGTGATTACTTAGCTAGTTGGCCCCTTGCCTCCCCCATTTCAGTAAAGCTCTTTTGAAGGTGTCAACAAAGCATTCTGCTTGTCCATTGGATTGGGTGTGGTAAGGTGGGGACCGTAGATGCGTTATCCCGTTTGAACTGCAGAATCTCTTGAATGAGTCTGCAACAAATTGTGATCCATTATCAGTTACCAAGGTTTCTGGCACTCCAAAACAACTAAATAAGGTAGACAGCTTGTGAATAGATTCCGAGGCTGTGCAGTTCGGCATGCTGTATATTTCTAGCCATTTCGTATATGCATCCACAATAATTAAGGACATTTTTCCTTGGATTGGGCTAGCAAAATCTACGTGAATTCTCTCCCAAGGTCCAGTAGGTTTTCGCCATGGTTGAGGTTTTAGTTTCTGCTCAACTACTGGGAGAGAAGCATAAGGTACAGGTATTTTTGGTCGAAAAACAGGAATAAATGTTGACTTGAGAGTCAGTAGTGTTTTGGCTTTCGTGCATTCGCCCAACTCTTCTGAAAACACGTGATGATGCTTTTTTATGATGGCATTTCTCTGACTTGACTCTTAAGAGATATTGAGTCTGACTCGGCTGCAGATATTGTTGAGAGGATGGTCTGCCAAATTTTATTGCATCTATTAGATCCAACACCGATAAATCGAGTTCCGGATTCTTGATTAAGTAAAACGTTGCACACGTTGTTGCCTCATTTTTCAAAACATTGCACGTTATTTCCCCAACAATATTAAGCTTACCTCCAGATGCGTTGTGCGCTAGTTGCTTCGTTCGGTGAACTGTAGGTCTCCCAATTTTCTCCCAAGTTTTTGGACTGATTAGGGTAATATCGGATGCTGTGTCAATTTGAAGACGGACACGGTATGCATTCATGTCCACGGTCACATACATTCTTCGGTGGCGAATTCTTGTCTGGTTATAGGATACTAATATTTTGTTTGTTTTTTTATCAGATCTATATTTCTTGGAATAGACTTTTGAAGAGTAACGTCTGCGAGTTTTATTTCTACATCTGGTTTCTTTGTGACCCTTTTTGTGAAATTTAGTGCAGAAATATTCTTTGTATGGACAAAACTTGTAATGCCAACCTCCACATGACCAGCAAGGAGATGAGGGCTGATTGTCTGTGCTGTATGGTTTTTGTGAGCCGGAGTCTTTCTTTTCACTAACAGCATGCGCGTATGACGGCCGGCTATTGTTCTCGACCATGGGGGTATCATGTTTCAAATTTACTAATCTCTGACGCTCTACAGTTATTTCTTGTAGTGAGATGTTTGGGCACTGATCAATTTCGCTTAAGTTTCTGGTTCTTATATCAGCATCTTCGGGAGATTGTAGGCTACACACAAACACGAGGCACTTAAACTGGTCTTCCGTCATTGATGATAATTTGAATAGTTCGCATTCTTGGTTTATTAGGCCGGCATGTTTTACCCAATCATCCTCACTTGACCTCGTTATTTTGAGGCATTGATAACGAATATTAAAGAGAGATGATTGTTCAGCGAAGATTTGCGTCAGAGTTTCGATTGTTGTATCAAAAGACGAATCTCTTGGATTCGTTGGGAGGATGAAATTACTATGACGTACATGTTCAATCGTGTCAAGCTTTCTCAAGAGTATTCTGACCTTGGCAGCGTCATCCAGTTTGTTCAGGTCAACCTTGAACAAATCTTCATGCTTCTTGAACCAAGACTCGAAAGTCAAATCAGCCAGGCCATCAAAATGAAATTACTGGATGGATTTAATTATCGAGTTTGTACAAGTATTACATAAATCATCAGTAAGACCTCTGTTATTCAGATTCATTTGTTTCGCTAACATCTCCAGCATGAGCTCCAGGAACTGTTCATATCGTTTTCTTTGACGTTCCAGCAAAGATTCTATTTGTTTAAAAGTAATTGGCATTGTTGATTGTAAAACCCGTCGCCACTGTTAAGTCCTCTACTTGAATACGCACGAAACACTATATAACGGATGACACTCGAACGTTATAACCTCCAACCCCTCGCAAGTAAGAAGACGAAAGACGTTTGTTAGCACTTATTGACAAGAATCGAAATATACAATAAAACATGCGTATTTATACAAAAGTATATATAATCAATATTGTCATTTAAACTTTTAAACATTCATCAGTAAATTCGTCAATTGACTGCTATTCAAATATTTAACATCTGATCGATAAGTTAATCGATAACGTAGTCAATCGACTATGTACGTGAGTGGCTTCTCGCTGGCCATCTCAACACTATCAAATAGATCATGTTAGCTTTTGTTAAGTTGTACTATTCGTCCTGTTGACAATAATGATACCCGTATTGATTGATAAAATTGAAAAGAAATCTGTAAATAATAATATGGCTGCTAATGAATAATTTGGATATAAGAAAATATATCTTGATTTGCCAACAGTTAAATAACTTATAAATAGTGTTATCTGTAAAATAAATAAAACATTTATCAGTGTAGAAATTGTAGTCATGTTTAATAGTCAAATTCATGAGATGATCTAAGTTAGATGGATTATTAATATGTTATAAGTAGTGGAAAGTTGCTTCGTCATAATATGGAAGTCTTCTGTAGCACAGATTTTTTATCGTGTTGGAGTTATTGTTCAGAGGATAAACCTTCGTGTGTGAGATCGAACGTCTTTGATTTGAGTCCTGTGTTTGACATCGTGGATGAGTACACACAACTGTTGAACCATGTTGAAATATTACTCAATTAGTCCCTTTTTTGTACGTTTTGGTTGGCATGCGCTATATGAACCCAGCACCTTAGGTCTCGCGCGCAAACGCTTGATCTCTATTCCACTGGCTCTGCTTGTAACGATGTAAAAGTCTAGCTTCTGTCGATCAATGAATGATTACGCAACTGTTCATCTATTGTCTGAGCTAGATAACTATCTCTACTCCGTATGGATTGGACTCCAGTAATCACAGATCCTCATCAGAATGGCATATCACTCAGAATATCGATGTCTGTTTACATCGAACCATAACGTATGTAAGTCAGTTCCAGTAGAGATTGCAATAAGGCAATACAGAATTCATTTGATAAATGGTTCATTTCTATTTCAAAGTGATCATTCTATCAATAAAAATGTACATCAATTTAACTCACAATGAAAAATATTAATTGTACACCCATGTAAACACCAATCGTTTGAAACTGAAAACAAGAAAATGATTCAACGAGTTCATTTCGACAATTCAACATTATATTTCAATTTATTAATATTCAAACATGACTACATATGGTTTAAGTCAATGTGTACTTCTGGACGATAAGTCAATTCAATCTTGTTTATCTCATATCAGATTGGCTAACGATAATTCACCTTTATTTATGTTACCTTGTGAAGAGTGGAACATATCTGCATACAATGATATCAGTGTTCATTTTATATCAGCTGATCGACTAATCTGTCTTTAATTTTGGATTGCAACGAATGTCAATAAATTACTCATGAATTGGATGGATGTTATGCTTTTATTAAAGTGATAGAAATGTTCACAGCATCTTTGCCAAAGTGTGCCATGAAGCGTATATGCCTTGAACTTGTGTATTTTGTATAAACATGTAACGTATATTATTCAGGGTAAAGTTGTTGTGATACTCTTTTGTTGTGATACGCCTCTTCAAAAGCTTATTCTAGAATCTGAACTGGAATGTGTACTCACGTTGGCTCTTTATGTTCAGTGTTATAACAAATCGATGGTCATATAATTTTCTACAAAATAAACGTAACATCTACTTGTGATACGAAAGTCAAGATGCTAAGTCCTTTAAATATGACTAATTGACATGTTAAAAAGATACACGTTTTGTTGTAGGATATCCGAATATAAAGAACTGCAACCTACCATCTAATGGACAGAATGATTTATCAATTCGTTCTCTTCCAAAACAGTTCTACACTCTTATATGATATCAATGTTTATCGATACATTGTTTCGTTTCCATGAACTCCTCTTCTGATGATCTTGTTCACATCACAACGTAGTTGCCAAGCCTTCTATTTCAAGCATAAGACTACATCACATTGTATCAATCATAACAACCGAATGCCCTGTATATCATCTAAATTTGCAAGTTCAGCTAACATAACACTTTGGACTTTTGATCAATTTTAAACAGAATTCAAATGTTTAGAAAGTTGGTTACTTACTAACAAGATTACAGTGCGCAGTTTACGATTTGGAACTTTCACAAAATATTTAGGCAAACATTTCTAAATGTTATGAAATCAAACTACATTCAATTACGATTACGTTATTCAGAAATCAAATAATTCAATTCACTATAATACCTTGAATTGGTCCCAAAAACTGAACACAACCGCGACTATTACACTGATAACAGACATAACCAAAAATGATATTAGAATACTTATTAACTGATCTTCCAAATCTGTTTTAATCGCTGCACCGATCAAAAATGCAGATGTGAATAGCACCAAACTGATTCCAAAGACAATCAATGTGTGAAGAGGTTCTAACTGTGTATTACAAACCCCTAATGCAGTTGCCATGCAAACAGACTGTAAATGAGAAAGAATATTACAGTTGGGAAAGAATACTTATTCTTTCATATGTGTTTGGATTTTACATGAATGCTGATAGTAATCTTCACTGTAGGTATGAATTCTTTTTCTGAAATTATCTACTTCAAATTTGACACAATCGATTTACTTACCACCTTTATATTTGGACGCATACATATTGATACAATGGGGCACCGAATACATATGCAATACACATATCATTTGATTTCTGGGCGGAATGTGAGTACAGAGTAAAACAGCGGATTTTCTTATGAAACCACGCCAGGAGCCGTCAACATAAAGGTCGGATCCACAAGAAAGTGAAGCTTAGTTACGAGATGCAGTCCCGTGGTCCACGGTTACCAATGATTGGTTCATACGCCATTTGTTCCCTCTGGATGCTGAACCCCAAGTGCAACATCGGTTTGAAATCATGGATTTCGAACTCGCTTAGCTGGACACTCTATACCCGTCAACTCAGTGAAAGCACCGATCATCCGTATTCGTCCTTTTAATTTTGTGCACAACACCCGCGCCTCGAGAAGACAGTGAGTGCGAATTCCCTGGCATATACTGTATATGCGTGGCCATGTGAGAGAATTTCGAGAGGAAAAATTGAAACATCTGGCATAACTATTGCAGCAGATAGAAGATACAAATTAACTTGTAGATCAGTCAGCATTTCGCTTTCGCAAACCTCTTCGGTGTCATAACAAACTGTCATATCGGATTATTATCTACAAGCAGTGTTCTTACTCTCAATCACATACCTTCTCTTATATTGCATTATATTAAACAGAGTAGCAAATTAAATGTGGAAAGATTATCAGAAATTCTTACATAAATGATTGCAAGCGCGACATTCAGTGGATATTTCTCATTTATCTTCTTCACGAATGCGATCAATAAGATTATCACAAATGAAATCAAACTACAAAATAAAACAGAAGTATCTATTGAGCATAACATGATTAACTCCGACGGTAGTTATTCTAGGGTTCATGCCGGTCTGTAATCGGGGCAAGGAAGAAGGTTGGGCATGGAATCGGTAAGCCTACCTCGTGGAAAACAACCTTGTAAAATGAAAACGCTAACCAGAATAAATCTCCGATTTCAAGGAAGAATTGCGACAACTGATGATGAAGCCACAAGGCCGATGTTTATTCTAACAACCAAAGCAGCAATTGTTATAGGTATATGGAGTCTCCGAACAATGTGGTAGACCAAGTGGATCAGTCAAATAACAACGGAAATAACCAGATATATTTTTTCGGTAGTTAAGTAAGTAAGTAATATCATGTTTATCAGTGGACAGATGTTCGTAATAAAATCACAACGTGTGGAGGATCAAAACAGCAAGTACTGCTACTGTTGATATACTTTGTGGATCTTCCAATTCTACAAGATTATTAGCAGGTCTTTTATGTAACTTATGTGTTCTTTGACACGAGTCGATTTCTTATCACGGCAGGACTCTCCATAACGGAATGTGTCACAATCGACGCAACCTTCTGTGTGGAAATGATTTTCTGTGGCAGTGAACACGATCTTATCTTTTATTTCAATGAAAGCGTTTCTTTAGAACGTTGTATGGCCTGTAAAATATTTGTAATACGCGTTTTATTGTTCTGTTGTACCTCTTCTTTCACGTAAAACAATAGCATCAATCGAAGATCTCTCATTATGATTGTTATTTAAAGACGGAGAGTTTTGTTTTAATATATTTTGAATATTCTCCTTCTCTTTTAGCCTGTCTTCTTTTGAAATAACGAGCCAATCAGAAGTGTTCAAGGGATTTCAAGATCTCGGCGACTATTTCAGAACCTGATGCTCACGTACGACTGGATCACAGCGGATTGTAGACAAAACGTAATAATTTAGTGGCCATAATAAATAGGACTACTAAGAAGTTCCTTCATTTACGATTGTGGTAATCAAATAAATTTGGATCTTATGCACACAATCGCCCAACTGAAAAATCGAAGCACCACGAACTGCATGCAGCCAGGTATCACAACATATACGGATATTTAGAGAAAGTAAAATTGCCTACATAGACTTGGATATGGTAATCATGTCGTTATCCAAAATGGCATTTTGTGTACCATACAACCGGAGTGAACACAAGTGAAATTGATGCTATGTGACTCGAGAGCCCTTCTATAATGCAGTCATACGGATGTGTTCTTTAACCATATTCATTACAATTTCAGAATTACTGAACCTCTTCCTAACCTGGAGAAATTGTGAACTATGTGAAAGACGGGTATCCATTTTAATTCTATAGTTTCGCATAATATATTTTTACTCTATATCAGTGAATTTCTAATTGGCTGATAGTATTCAAGGTCAGTTAAGATCCGTTTAGCAGTTGTTCATAAATTATAGTCTCACTGCTTTGGAAGTACCAGTATCTCCGATTGTTAGTATTCTATGTATGTCTCATTATATAGTGGCTTATTTGCCAGTACGATTAGACAATGACATGCTCAGATCTAATATGATTTTCATTCTGCATTATTTTGATTGTATTATTTAAACTTGGGTTTAATTTATTTAGGTCATTTACTCACATGTTCTAAAGAAGTGGCTTATATAAAACCACGAATCATCAAAATTAAGATTTTTCTACACATTCAGTATGATAATAATAATGCACTTCCTAGCCAACGTTCAATTTGTTTGAAACAATCAAGTTCATCATTTACATCATTTCTCGAATACATCTTAATCATTCTGCATAAATATTATTCACGTTTGATGAATTGTAATGAAACCAGAGTCAGGATTGAATTCACTTAGTATTGGTGTTTCCTTGAATACTCCCATTGTTGTTTAGAATTGCTGGTGACCAGTCCCATATTGGCATGTGTGCACACTGTGAGAACTGCATCGATATTGCCTTAATGCACATGCATTGGTTAGAAGTGGAATCCAGCTTCACGCACGTTTCGTCATATTTGGGAATCGTCATTTGAATGTACATAGATACAGGAGTTGATTTTCGTTCTGGTACTCCAAACCTGTATCATTCGCTTCACGCACCATTGCGTTGTCCACGTGCTGTTACGCAAACTATGTACATATACATATATCCTGGGACCACCGAGTAATTAATGCACCTGTTTAAAAGCGCAAACAAGGTATAGATGGCGAATCGATTGATGAAAAAGTGAAACCTCATCAGTTGAGATGGCTGGGATATGCATCACGTGTACGCATGCGTGAAATAGTTCGGACACGTTGGTCAAACACTATCAGCAACAACCTATTGAAGGAGAGAACAATCCGAATTCCAGTGGAGGAAGAAACCAGGACGAATTGGTAGAAGTGGATGGGACAGACATTGAGGAAAGCACCCAACTGAATCACAAGTCACGTCTCCACTTGCAAACCTCAAGAGCAAAGCGAAATCAATGCACCTATTATGCCGAAAAGTGTACACAGATATGAGAAGAATGAACATGAAATAGAAAGTAAAACACAGAACAGAGCTGACTAGAGAATGCTGGTCGGCAGCCTATGCTCCATAAGGAGAAACAGGAGTTAGTAAGTAAGTAGGTAACCCTGTTATTTAGTCGAAATATTCAATCACCATCTTATATACAAGTAAATTATTAAACAGATTATTAATAATTTGTAAAGCAAAATGATGGCATAACCTACAGTAGTAAAACAGCAATAATAGACGGTAGCAATTGACTGCTATTTCGAACTTTCATTGCACTACTATATAGACAAATATCAATTTTATTCTTTATGTAATTTACAGTAATGACGAGAGCATTATGATGACAAATGATACTGATATTTGTACCGTAATCAGTATAAGCACCTATCATTGCGAATGGTTTCATTATTGATAAAGCATAATCTACTGTTATGGTATATGTTGATACAACCATTATACGATCATCATGTTGCATAATATTCATTACATTGATTCTTTTAATGATTTTCCATCGAAGATTTTCAACCATAGCAAACATTATTTCCAATGTGGTTTCCTAGAGTAAACAATAATGTATCATATGAAAGTTTCATCGTAAATGTGATTAATGACTAAACATGCTGTATTGAACGAGAACGCAATGCAGATACAACGGAATGCTCTGAAGGGGTGGGGATGAGTGTGGTGCATGCTACTGATGATGACAGATATAAATAGTATGTTTCATCAATCAAAATTGAAATGTTTGCAGACAAAAGGTTAAGAAGATTGAAGAGAAGAGGACAAGAGTAGAGAATGAAAATGAAAACTACTAATTTTCATTATTTCTGCTAATCATTCTACTTGACATAATCAAATTTTTACTTACTGATATTGAGTCGTATCACTGAAATGATGAATTGAGCAGCATTTTGACTTGAAGTGATTATTTTCTTCTCTGTGTGTGTGGATGAGCTTTTGTCTTTTAAATTTCCATAGGCTACTAATAATCATCGTTTGTGTACTTAGCATGATATTATAGACTATTCAACCGATAGTCTAGTTAGGCAGATAGGTATGTACACCAACAAAAGAATTTTTTTGAAAACCTGTCATATTTGTGTTTTATTTTGACAAGCATTAGTAACAAATTGCTACGGATGATAATAAAACACTTCAATGCCACCTTGAGGTCGACAAATACTACGATTGTGTGGTGTCTGAATGTGTGTCTATATTCAAGACATAACATATTGTGAATATCTGGTCTATACAGCCACTTCCAAGTCAGAAAACAGACTGGTTTTCTCTAGTCTACTCTTCACGAATTTTAGTTAGGCATCGGAGTATAATTGAATCTAATATATCATTTACAAGCAGATTTCCCCAAACTGAAGTTTACTTGAAATTTAATATTATTTTGTGTGACTAGTTATATATAGTTGATTACATATCCACTGTAAGACAATTGAGAATCAACTATGATTTGGAAATAAACTTCACAATGATAACTGGAGCTTACCTGTAACGACGTTGACCGAACTGATCTCAATTTTGAGTTGGATTCAAAATAGCCTCAATCATTACATGAATTTATAGTGAATATTTTGTTTATGTATATTATCTAATGAAGTTTGATCACAGTTTTACAGATAACATAAATCAAGTTTGAAATGCTTAAATCGGTTCATATTCATATATCGGATCAAGGTTCATTTATAAAATAACAATAAATGATTATCAACTCAATATGACAAGCACAATCAAAATGATACAGAAATAGCAAACATAAGCTATTTGTCTGCATGATATGCGTGATATGAAAATCAACATGGATTACCTTTTTCAATCATCCAAATATTTGTCCCCTTTGTTCCGTGAATTTCGAATAAAGATTCTATGATTTAAGCAAAACTCTATACTCATTTGTTGCCAAACAATTGGTACCTATCTCGAATTATAAAACTTTCCCAAACTTAGCACATTTAACAAGTACTCTGGCTGATTTCAGTGCTCTGATAAATCAGTTTTCTGTGAATTTCAATGGAAGTTAGGAGGATTGTGACCAATTTCGAAATTACAATTTGATGAAATCATCATGCTTATCAAACTAAATATTTACTGCTATACTATTTAGTAGAGATCAGATGTGAGTTTGGCATCATTTCCAATTGTAACGTTTGTCATGAAAAGATAATATTGCGATGTCATTTTGCATGATATCATGCAAGAGAGATTGGATCTACTTTTCAAATTTTTAATATTTGAGATCATTACTCAATTGAAGCTAGACCACCATGGAAAACCTGAAAGAACTTAACGCCCGTTTCTTCCTATTTTGTGAAGCCTCAGAAATGCGCATCCACGATCTCAGCTAATAAAAATTACTATATTATCCACAAAACCCACTACTGATATATCTTCAATGATGT